AGAAGAAGAAGAAGAAGAAGAAGAAGAAGAAGAAGAAGAAGAAGAAGAAGAAGAAGAAGAAGAAGAAGAAGAAGAAGAAGAAGAAGAAGAAGAAGAAGAAGAAGAAGAAGAAGAAGAAGAAGAAGAAGAAGAAGAAGAACTACTTCAGGGAACAAAATACATAGGAACTAAAATGGTTTTTAGAAAGGACTTTTATTTCAATAGACTTTCACTCCTTTATTGGCCACCTTTTGGATGTGAGGAAAGCAGAGCTCAGGATGATCTAGGAGATTAAATTGCCATAAAAATTTACACTTTGGAATAAGGCAGAATACAAACTACTTTTTTCAAAACAGTGTTGGTTCTTCAGGAAATTAATAAACCTTGTTCATTGAGCTTTTCCTTACTTTTTCTTCTTAATTCTTCCTTGGATTATTTGCCAAGAAATGTACCAAAAGGTTTGCCAATAAAATTGGCAATATCAGGCTGGTTATATCATATCTGGGTCTGAACTAGAGCTGGGCCATCTGTATATAATAGGGAGGAAAGGATGAGGTGAAACTGTTGGTTTTAATCAGTTCAATATTCCAAGCAAGCTGTTTCTTGTCCCTTATCTGGCTTCCATTATACCTAAGTGTTTATTTAACTCAGCTTCAAATGAAGCTTCAGCCACTTAAGTTTGGGAAAGTGCTAAGGGAAAGACATTTACAGAGGAAAAGGATTCATCAAACTGACAAATAGAATCTGGAACTCTCATAAATAGGGCTTCAACACAGATAACAGTTGGAACACTCTATTGTTGGAGCAATTTAAATGTTTTGAGTAAAATTACCCTACCCTACTACATCGTAGACATCAGCAAACAAAAGATGTCAACCTATTTAAGAAATAAGGATAAATTTCCAAACAGTTAAAACAATTAATCTGTCAGTGTTCCAACTAACCAATTCCCAATCAATAAATTCCGAGAAAAACATTTCCTCAAAGTTCCATTTTAGTAGAGTTGTCATATTAGCACATCTGGGAAAACCCAAACCTGAGAGTTCTGGGTTTGCCCTTCCCAAAAGAAAATCAAAGATCCATCCCCTGCATGCATCAGTCCATCACATGGCCCAATCAAATTTTTGTCCCAACTGGAGACATCACTCCAGTCATTCCCTCCAGGTGCAGGGCAACATGTCCTTGACTCTCTGAGAAAGAATGTTGTTATGTCTAATCTTCCACCTCTCTGTGAAATCCCCCCTCCCAAATTCCCAGCCACTGAATGTGGCAGCCTCGAAGCTGCCAAGTAAAAAATAGCTTCCAAGGCTGACATAATCAGTAGAACAACTTGCCTCCAGAACTTGTGGGTGCTCCAACACTGGAGGGTTTTAAGAAGGGATTGGACAACCACTTGTCTCAAATGGCGTGGGGTTTCCTGCTTGAGCAGGGGGTTAGACTAGAAGACCTCCAAGGTCCCTTCCAACACGTTTATTATTCTGTTAAATGGTTTTTTAAATGATTTTTTAAAACTTGCATTGACTTTCATTGTGCTTACATAAACCTCCTGTGTTGTGTACACATTAATAAATATCGTAAAATTTTCTAATTTGTAGGCAATATTTCGTGTTTATCTTTCATTTCTGTATGCCAATATTGGAATCTATCTGGCAGATGTCTGTTTCTGGTATGAGGATGTCTGCTTTCACCAAAGTCATAGGGATGGTTGATTATAAAACCAGATGCATTTGCTCAAGGAGTTTTCAACTTTGTTTTTTTCCCCTTTCTTTTTTTCTTTTTAATTAGTAATTTAAGGTATATAAACATTGGCCACTAAGTAACTTTAATATCCATTGATTTGTGCAACCCCAGAAAAAAGGTCAGTTCAGAAATTGAGTTCCAGGTATTGTGTGAATATAATGCCTAAGTATATATTCAAGCAGATTTATTTTCTTTCTTCATCAAGAAAATGAAGACATGCACGTTTTTAAGATATTACTGAAACATAAAAATATTTTCCTTGCTGGAAAATATATTTCCTAGTGAATCCTGATAAATATAGATTGATTATTATCAGAGAAATGGGCACGTCTCAAGATTTAGCAGGCAGCAAGCAAGGCTTTTACATTTTTAAAACTTATTTTATTCAATGTGATTTTCTTCGCTCAGTAGAAGGATTTTATCCCCTTTTGTTAGAAAACCTGCCGACTCAGAACAAAGATGCTTCATCATATCTTCCACCTTGTTTGGTGTTTTTGTGAAGTCAGGGCTATTTGCCGATGATTTTGGGAGCCGGGGTGCACTCGGATTTCTTTATAATCTCCTTGTACAGTCCGGGCACCCCGTAAATACGTGGCTCATTCAGACAAGCATTCTTCGTTCCACAGCCCCGTTCGGCGTGACTGTAAAATCTTCCCTCTGCAGAAATGTGAGAAAGATGATAACAAAGTCCATTGTGTATCAAACAAAGGATAATGTGGGATGAAAGTCTGGAGCAGGGTTTTCAATTGGTGTATTGTTAAGTCCTGGCATTCAGGAGGATTTATGGGGACCTAAAAACAAATGTCCTATGGAAATTGTGAATATGTTCCTCTGCATTTTACGCTCTTATCAGGAGGCAAGGAAGAAATGTACATATTTACTGCTTGGAATATTTGCCGGAAGAACTTTTACATTCATTGCTGTGAGATGAGCAATCCCATAAATTCGATGGATGGGTGGATGGGTGGATGAGAGGGAAAGGAGGGAGGGAGGAAGTGTCAGAGAAGGAGGATGGGAGGGAGGGAGGGAGGGAGGAAGGAGGGTGGGTCAGAGAAGGAAGGGAGGGAAGGGCAGAGAAAGCAGGGGGGGAGGAAGGAAGGAAGGAAGGAAGGAGGGTGGGTGGGTCAGGGAAGGAAGGAAGGATCAGAGAAGGGAAGGAGGGAAGGTCAGAGAAGAAAGGCAGGCAGGCAGGCAGGGAGGAAGGGAGGAAGGGAGGGAGGAAGGGAGGAAAAAAAAGAAAAGGAAAAAAAGAAGTAAATTTGATGTAATTTTAACCTACTGTTCTGTTGAGATGAGCCTGGATTTAATTAAAATGAGTGCAATCTCATTAAACTATTGCTATTAAGGGCAGAGCCCAGTCATTCCCAGCATGACTGCACTGGCCAAGCTAATTTTATTTTGAAAACAATGCTCAAGTTATCAGATTTATTGTATTTATTGAATTGCCAAAAGGCCATAATAAAAATCGATCCATTCTGTTTTCAGCCTGTTTTTAGACTTACTTCTCGTGTTGGTGCATTTCATACGTCAAAATGGCAAGAGAACCAGTCTGATGTAGTGGTTAAAGCAACAGACTAGCAACCAGGAGACTGTGAGTTCTAGTCCCACCTTAGCCATGAAAACCAGATGGGTGACCTTGGGCCAGTCACACTCTCGGTCCAGTTTGCCTCACAGGATTGTTGTTGTTGGGGGTAAAGTAGGAGGAAGAAGGTGTGTATGTTTGGACATGTTTGCTGTCTTGCGTTATTTGTAAAAAGAATAAAGACAGGATACAAATAAATAAATAGAGGCGTGGATGGGGGTTCTTTTTTGCAATAGGCTACAGTCTTTGTACATTTCGTGTGTCAGAGTATCTAGGAATCCTGCGTCATGCCCCCATCGGAGCCTGAATCTGTGGGGGAAGAGGAGCTGGAACTGGAGCCGACAGATTTGAGGGGGAGGCTTTGTTGGCTTCAGAGGAAAATGGGGAGGAGCAGGCCCAGTCAGGCCAGGGCCTTTCAGGATTGGGACGACTTGTAGGTAGGGAGGAACAGGGGCAGGATGACCAAGAGAAGTTAAGCAGTGAACATGAGAGCTCAGACAATGAGCAGAGACCACCCCCTCCTGATCCTCGATCACGGAGAGTGGAGAGAAGGCGAGAACAGAGCAGACTGACCCAGGTACTCAGGAGGAGAGTGCCCTGCCCCCTCTTCACGAGGCACACCTGGGGATTGAGGCTTAAGGAGACATTGTGGGGAGGGGCATTTGTTGGGAACAGACTCTGAATTCACGGAGTGTGGAGTGCCCATGTTTGAACTTTCCTGAATTCCTTGCATTCTTTCTGGATTTCTGGAGACTTACCTTGCTCCTTTGATTCCTGGACATGCCCTGCTGGATATCTTGCTTTGCAGCCTTCACAGCATTGGGCCGGACTATTTGCAGCCAGAGGCTGCTTGAGGTGTGGGTGTGTCATCCTTTTGCTCTGGGACTTGCCAGAAACGTGAGAGCATTTGGGGAAATTTGGAGCAATAAAGGGATGGTTTGAACTGCCAGTGACCTGTTACTCCTGTGCCGTCCCCTGGGTCATTACACCTTGCCATTGCCATTGTGATCAGATGCAGCCCAGAGGTCATGAAGGAAGCCTCGTACATCAAACTTCTCACCCAGTTTTGTCATTAAATAGTGGAAATATCTGACATCATCAGTGTGATGACCCGGGGCATGGCATAAAGGCAACACAGTCAGATAATCAATAAAAGTCCCTTTAATAGTTCCAGCTTTGCCCCCAATGTCCAGGTTACCTTCTGGCTGGAGAAAAACTCTGCCAGGAACAGCCTTTAACTGCAGGGAATCAAGTCCAAAACATGGTCAACAAAAACTGTAACTTTAAGTCCAATCAAGCCAAACTGAGGTAATCAGTTTGGCAGGGCAGGAACAAGAATTCCGGATGTGAAGTCACGACAAAACTCACATGGTTGGGAAGACGCCAGGAACACATAACCAAAGACAACACAGGATAAAGTCATGTTTGCTCCCAACACCTGCTGCAGTCAGCATTCAGTTCTTTTAAACCAAGGGATTTCAAACTTGACAGCTTTAAGACTTGTGGACTTCAACTCCCAGAATTCCTCTTCCAGTCATGCTAGCTCAGGAATTCTGGGAGTTGAAGTCCACAAGTCTTAAACTTGCCAAGTTTGAAGACCCTTGTTTTAAACTTTCATTCCCAGGTGTGGCTAATGAAGGGAATCAGGGCCCTTTCCTCTCCCATAAGCCATGCAACCCACGTTGCTCTCTTTTCCGTTCCTCCCTGTTTGCCCTAGGATGAAGAGGGGATGGGCCTGGGTCTTCCTCTGAATTCCCTCTCCCTTGTTCTATCTCTCCCCTGCTCTGCCCAGCCGGACTTTGCTCTGCCCCAGCCTCCTCCACAGCCAATGGACCTACACTCCCGCTCCCTGTCAGCTGTTCGTCTTCCTCCTCGGATTCAGACTCCGACAGGGGTGCCCACACACTTTCCTCTTTCCCATCCCCACCACAGGTGACAATACTATTTCTCAGATCTTACCTTGTTCTACCGTCACATCGTAATAGACACAATACTCTTCCCAGCCGTTGCAATGGATCAGCTCAGTGGGTTTGCAAGTTGGATCCGTTGAGATGCATCCAGGACATTTCATCCCATTTGGGCGGATCCCGAGTTTGGGCACTTGGGAAATGGGGGAAACAAGCAGACATGGTCACATCGGCATCCTATCTTCTCAGCCCCTAGGAACTTCCCCATCTTAGATCTTTGCTCTGATTTCTTGGAATTCCAAAGGCAAACCAAGGACAGGCTCTCCAATTCTATCTCCGGAAGATTTACTAACATTTGTCTCATCGTTTTCAGAAGTCACATTTTATACAGGTAGTCCTCACTCAATGACCACCACAATTGGGATTGGCAACTTTGTCATTAAGTAAACATGGTGTCAACCCTAAAGCTGGCCTGACCGAAGCCATTTAAATTAGACATTTAGTTGACCACAACTCGTGATTTCACTGGCAGCTTTCGTTATCCTAAATGTCCACGAGTTGAGAAGCACCTGAATTTTGATCACATGACTAGAAGGGCAGCAATGCTGTGATGGGATAATAAGCTATCAAGTTGTTTTTTTCAGTACAGATATAATTTGAAGCCATCACTAAAACTGGGCAGTCATTAAGCAAGAATTACCTGTAATGGGCTATGTGAATAAGTTTGAAAGACGGAAGAAAGACTGCCGCTGAAACAACAGTCTGATAAAAGACATCCACGTCTAAAACGTGAATGGGAGTAGAGAAAGTATCTTAGAATTGATTCTTCCCAGTTCTCTGGAATGAAAAAGCAGGGAAACGGGGAAGCATTTTCAGCTTTAGAATAGCACTGAATTAGCAATAGCACTTATATACTGCTTCACAGTGCTTTATAGCCCTCTCTAAGCAGTTTTTACAGAGTCAGCCCATTGCCCCCAACAACCTGGGTCCTTATTTTACTGACCTGGGAAGGACAGGAGGCTGAATCAAACTTGAGATTGATGAGATTCGAACTGTCAAATTGCAGCCGGCAGTTGGCAGAAACAGCCTACAGTACTGCACTCTAACCCACTGCGCCACCGCGGCTCATAGACTAGGAAACTGGTGCTTACATGTCACGGTTCCACTGTTGCAAAGGTCCTTGCGACAACACTTCGCAGCACTCCGCTTGCGTCTTGAAGGGAGAGTGAAACTCATGGGCGATGGAACACAATGCTTGAGTTTGCTGCAGCCTTTGTAAGTGGCAAGCCACACCTCATTTCCTGTACAGTGGGAAGAGTGGCAGTCAAGGCAGGGGTTAGCAAAGTCAACTTCTTGCAAAGAGAAAACCCACTCAGGGATTGGGAAAAAAATACCAAAGTGAGCATCAGTGAACTCCAACATCATGAAAAGGGTTAATTGAGTGAGCTGGCAAGGAGCAACCTCGCCAGTTTTGCCACTACTAAATCAATGTTTTGTAATAGGCCATAGCCACAATGGCAGCCATTTGTGATTTATCTGCTCATAATAGGGAGCCAGTTTGGGTGTAGTGGTTAAAACGTTGGGTTGGAAACTAGGATATGGTGAGTTCTAGTTCCACCTACGGCACAAAGCCAGCGGGGTGATCTTGGGCTGGTCACTTTCTCTCAGCCCCAAAAAGGGGGCAATTTCCACAAAAACCTGGCCAAGAAAACTGCAGGAACTTGTTTAAGCAGACTCCAGGAGTCAACACTGACTCAAAAGCACACACAGACACACAAACACACACAAAATAAAACCCATAATATATTCTCAAAGTTCCAAATCCACCACTGGGATCCAAAAAAGTGGTTGGAGACATTATTCCACTTACGAATGTTTGAGCTGCACACTTGCTTTGATACAAACAAACCTGCCTGCACCTCCAACCCAGAATATCCTGGAGGTTAGATGAAGGTTAGTTTACAGCACACCACATACGTACATTTGGTTGGACTTGCACACAAAATGGACTTTAAAAAGCCTTTTAGAACATCACTCATTCATAAGTAGAGCACTATCTGTATTCCTAAATGGCCCTTGACTTTAATCTACTTCCTCAAATTCACTTCAACCCAGAACCAAAGGTGCTTTTTTCAAGAGGCAACTGGACTTTCTGTTTTTTCTCTGAAGACATTTGGCTTCTCATCCAAGAAGCTTCTTCAGCACTGACTGGATGGTCCTTCTTCAGCTCATGGATGAGAAACAAAACATCTTCAAAGAATAGAATAGAATTTGGCATGTAGAATAGAATATGGAATGAAAGAATAGAATAAAAATTAGAATAGAATAGAATAGAATATAAAATAGAATAGAATAGAATATAGAGTAGAGTAGAGTAGAGTAGAGTAGAGTAGGGTAGGGTAGGGTAGGGTAGAATAGAATAGAATAGAATAGAATAGAATAGAATAGAATAGAATAGAATAGAATAGAATAGAATAGAATAGAATAGAATAGAATAGAATAGAATATGGAATGAAAATAGAATGGGATGGGATGGAAATGAGAAGAGAAGAGAAGAGAAGAGAAGAGAAGAGAAGAGAAGAGAAGAGAAGAGAAGAGAAGAGAAGAGAAGAGAAGAGAATTCTTTATTGGCCAAGTGTGGTTGGACACCCAAGGAATTTGTCTTGGTGCATAGGCTCTCATATATAAAAGATATAAGTGATAAATCATGATCATAGTTATCATAAATACATTCATAAAAACCAGAAAATCCAGTTGCCTCTTGAAAAAGCACCTTGGGGAAAACTATGACCTGGATGACTGAGAATCCCCATAGACAATTCATCCCAGAATAAATGAGTTTTGTTCCTATGCCAGA